AAAGATATAGAAAAATACACTACTCCTCTATCTGTAATGTATAAACGTAATTAATTCTTAGTCGTTTTTTCTAATCATCTCATTCTGGCATTCCGTCACTCGAAGCAGGTATAAAAGTAAGGCTCAGACAATGGAAGGGTCGAGACGTTTGCAGGTATAGGTAAACACTTTCTCAACATTTCGAATATTGGTCCAGTTTTTTCCAAATTTGTAATATACGAAAATGACTTCAAAAAGTGAAATAAACCAATATAGTCCATGTTCCCAGGGTCACCAGACGTCACGTGTTTTCTGACGAAAGAAATGTGCATGATTGAGTAGTGTTAGTATGTACTACGATCGCATGCCTACCTGCTAGCTCAGGTAAACAAAGTACAAAATAAAAATAAGTTGTCAATACTCCCAGACACTTTCCGTCGGCCGGATTTGCTTTGCAGACGCTTTAAAGCTCTCAAAATAATTACTTAACTTCACGTAAATTCTGAAGCTCCATTTGTATATATGTTCGCCACACAACTATTTTACATACATACATACTATTACATTACATACTATTCTCTCTCTTACAGTTTCCTTATATCAATTAATTTTTAAAAATAAAAAAAGAAACAGGTAAAAATATGGATCCCAAGGCATTATCCCTTCATAGCCCTGTTAAGCCCCCACTTGGAGCCAACATCCTAATCGTGTTCGGAGCATGGGGAATCTGATACAAAGATTGTATACCTACCATGTTTGCAACATCGATGCCTAAGCTAGTTTTGTGGTACAATGTTCAGATACTGATGCAACAGCGATAATGCTGGGAAATATGCATCATTTGAAAAATGATGCATATTTCCTATATTATTATTATTAATTAGGACCGTCGTTGTGTCGAAGTATGCCAGCTTTGAAGAACTTCTGATTTGACATAGAAAATTAAGCCTAACTGATACTATTATCTATTCTGTACCTAAAACCTATCTATCTAAATACAATTTAATATTGAACATAATTCACCAACATCCAACAGTGTAATTGTATGATTTCAAACATACAAGTAGGTTTTGTGTGACAAAGTGTTGATGCGGACAGAACGTAGAAAATTAGCTGGTATTTTTTTTCCGTTGAACTTAGAAATGGCATTGGGAAGTAACTTTTCATTATAAACGATACCAGTGAATTTACCAGCCATAACACATGGTAACCGAACATACACACACATAAAAGTCGACGCACACAGTGAACCTGCTACAAGCGCTAGGAAAGAGACAAATATAGTCATTCAACTAAGTGAGAATGGGTCAACGGCAGGTAGAATTCAGTATATGGACGTGTTAGTATGATAACAAGTCCGAAGGGGCACAACAGAACGGGCTAATAGTCAGCCTGTCGTCGTGGAGACAGCGACAGCGTCGGATCGTTCGTCGCGGCCTTGATAATAAACCACGTGGCCGGCACACCGAACCGAAAAAGTAAGTAAAACTACGTTAGATTGACCGATAAAATGTGTTAATTATCAATAACTTAATTCTCTATGTAGCGTGAGACAAATACCAGAGTTCATTTCATTCCTGTTGCGTTGTAAAGTTCGAGAAGTATATGTGTCTAAGTATAAGTCTACGTTTTTATTTATTTATACATATTTAATTGCAGTACAAGTTTATCTACAGATTTGACAATTAAATGCAAAGTATTATTATGTGCTTTTATATAATTTTACATTCAATTCGGTACGTTTAAATTATGCGACGTTGTTTGATATTTTTAGTAAATGTTTTATTGTTTTGTCAAACCTAATGACTCAATAATATAGTAGTAGGGAAAACTGACGCGAAAATAGACAACAAGAATCTTTGTTATCGTGTATCGTGTCAAAAGCTGATCTCAATCGGTGCATAACTTCTTGGGTTTTTGAGGCGTACACAAACCAACTGAACATTTAAACAGGTAGATATCACTTACGGAAGTATTTATATACGGATTATAGCTACCTGCGTAATTAATTATCGTAGATTTTTTTAAATATGGTTTGATGACATCTTGAACTTGTTGACCCCTAAGCTGTTTCTTAAACCAATAACGTGAGAATATTTTATGATTAAATTTAATAATGCTGAGTTTTAAGTTAGTTCTTATTATTGATCGTTAACTAATGCGAATACTCAGACATGACATGATACGATCAATTAAGAACCGCTAAATTTTCTGATAATAACTGATAAGCATAATTTAATACTCGTTTATTTATAAGTAGTAAATAGTAATTACTGACCGCTCTGTTACTTACGTGTAACTAGTTGAGAATGTATAATACTATAACAGTAGGTGTGATATCGGAGACATGCATGGTGTTGTTGTTGTCTCTTTGACCACAATAAAATCGCTTTGTTGTTTTTTCACCTCAAATGGGTAGTAATTTGCTGCCTAAAGGCTTCCAAACGAAAATTTAAAAGGAACATTAAGAAAAGTACTTGTGTTATAACAACAGTATTATTAATACTGTGGTGACATTTTGAAAATGTCAATAAATAGGTTTGAACGAAACATATCAATCGTAGATAGCATCTCCTATTTAAAAAAAAAATTCGCCCTATGCCGATTTTTATCATATTTGATTGGTCTCTGTTTACAGTTCTCCGTTTCCGTATCAGAAAAATTATTAGATTTAAAAATTTAACTAAAAATATGGAAAAATTATTTTCTCATCTATTGTGTATGACTTAAAACATGAACGAGGTACGGTTAAAAACGCTGCTCAAAACGCATTTGCGGTTAGCCGCATTGCGGTGTGACTGCGGACCACAGAGTACAGTAAGTGTGCGTGTACAAGGTGCCGCCTCCGCGCCTACACCGAACCGCCGCCGCACCTCCGCGCTATGTATACGAGACGCGTAAAGTCCGCCGCCGCACCTCCGCGCTATGTATACGAGACGCGTAAAGTCCGCCGCCGCGCCGCCGCGGTCCCCGCCACCCAGATGCTAATGATACTATTTTGTTATTTATTTCATTACCGGTCGCCTAAGAACGTGCACGTGCTTACTAAACTATCATGGAAAATTTTGATTACGAATTGTTTATAAGTCTAGTAGAGGAGAGAGAAGTGCTATGGGACAAACATTTGGAAATATATAAAGACAAGCGGAAAAGTTTAAAAGCTTGACTTGAAATCTGCCATATAATGAATGAGAACTTTGCGGAACTACCTAATATGGAGAAAAACAAACACGGTAAGTGTATTTTTTGAATAAATTTATTAATTCGTTTATCATATTAACAATAATGATTTTGCCATGGCACACTGCCATATTCGGAATTAAAGTAATGTTTATATTTGTTGTATATGTCATTAGCTGTTGTAGGAACTATTTCTATTTGATTTGATGGCAGAAGTTCCTGTAATTCACCACACTCATTTACTGATGCCCTAGTTATACCCTCTTCTTTGTGAATAAAATTTTGGAATAAACAATCTTTCACAATGTCGACAGCTAAGTCCAACGACACATCTAACGGTCGATGAAAAATTCGCCATTTGTTAGCCAGTATGCCAAAGGTACATGCCACATATCGTCTCACTCTTGTTAACTGATAATTAAAAATTGTTTTTTCTGCATCAAGTTGTTGACTGCTATATGGATGCAGTAAGTTCTGATGTAGTGTAAATGCTTCATCGCCTACGAATACATATGGTAAAACAATGTTCGTATTAGGCAAGGGTTGTGGCGAATTCAATATATTGTTGACCATGCTGTACCTGAAAGTAGTATCTTTAAAAACACCCGAATCATAATCCTTTCCATAAGCACCGACGTTAAAGTAAATAAAGTTGTAGTAACTATCAATACAATCGAAAAGTAATGTTTGTAGTTTAAAAAGATCGATCCACTGTTGTTTGGTTTAACTACTCTTATATGCTTCCCGTCGACAGCACATACAAAATGAGGAAAATTCGCATTTTTGAAAAAATGTTTAAATTCGGGTTTTCAATTCAAAAATATTTTGCCAGGCACCGAAAAAATTCAAAAAAAAGAATTTGAATTTTTAAAAGCAACTTTTTGGGGAAATAAAGTTGTAGAATTCCCAATCCCCAATCAAAATTTTTTTTTTTTTTTTTTAAAACGTCCCCCCCCCGGAATTTTTTGGAAAAAACCCCTTTAAATGTTTTCCCGGCCCAAGCAATAAAAATGAGGAAAAATTTCCCCAGAACCTTCCAAATTTATGGCCCTTTTTTAAACCAAAAATTGTTTTTTAGGGAAAATTTGGGGACCCAAATATTTTGGGGTTTAAATTTCAGCCCAAACAAGAAAACAATTTTAAACAATTTTGGGGCAACAATTTTTTTCCTTTCTAAAATGAATTTAAAAACCCCAAACTAACCTTTCCTAAGCCCCAAACTTTAAAGAAAAAAATTTTATTATCAATAAATCGGAAAATAATGGGAGAAAAAGAACATTAGAGATCACATCACATCAACAGCCTTTAATAGTCTACTGCTGGACATGGGCCTCTCCTTAGAAAGGAGGTTTTGGCCTACTATGCCACGCTGGCCAGACGGGTTGGTATAGGGTTTGTGTCAAGTTTTCCTTTTCTTTGCAGTGCTGTTATCCTGCGTAGTTTGCTCCCTTAGTCGCCTCTTACGACACCCACGGGACGAATAGGGGTGGCGACACTCCGTATTCTTAATCCGTCACCACACGACGGACATGCCATTAGAGATGCTTGGATGAGATGCGACCAAAATTGCTTGAAACGAACCCTGGATCGGGTGCAAAACCATAAATATTATTATTATGATAATTTCAGTTTCTAAAAAAAATCACTCAACACTACCTGTATCTGGATCAAATATACCGGCAGAAAGATCGAATATACCGGCAGAGAAAAATACATCTAATGAATTGGTGGCAACAAAAGAAATAAAAAAGAAGAAATCCATCCCGTTGAAAAATCCTTTGAACGCTTTAAATATGATGACATTGTAGAATTTCAAAATCAAGTATTGAATATTATAAGAAATGTTCAATATAAAAATAGTAGCGCACCACATCAATCAAAAGCCGTTGAAATATATCCGGCCAGCTATGGTTATAGTACTGCTGCTGGGCCAAGTTCAAGGAATCAATCTCAATCATCTTCCTATAGTACTGAAAACAATTCTTTGCAGAGAAACGTGAGTCCGTCAAATTCAAGCCTGTGTGATTATGATTTTTCTGCAATAAAATAAGTTTTTTTTTGACTTACCTTAATGTGACAACCAATCTCTCTGTTGGACTTTTACTTGCTCGAAAATTTGTTTCTTTGTGTTGCAGTTCACTTTTTAATAAATCTAATAATTTGTCGAATGTGTTGTATTTTTAACTTACCTTAATGTGACAACCAATCTCTCTGTTGGACTTTTACTTGCTCGCATATTTGTTTCTTTGTGTTGCAGTTCACTTTTTAATAAATCTAATAATTTGTCGAACGTGTTGTAATTCATCCCAAGATAATCACGAAACTTGACTTAGTCTTTTCGTAGATCTTTATAAAGTGTATGAAATTCACCATATTGCTCCCATCGAAATCGAATAGGGAGGAACTTTCTAGTGGACTTATGACGTTCATCCTGCCATTTGCTGTACATAAAGTAAGCTAACATTAACTTCTTTTTTTCGTTATACTGGACATGACACGTGTGATCTTCGTGGCAGCAATCTTTGGCTTAGGCTTGACGCGTCTCGTGTACATAGCGCGGAGGTGCGGCGGCGGTGCGGTTTCGGCGCGGAGGCGGCACCGTGTACTCACGGCCTAATACTATTAGAGACCGAACTGCAGTCAGTCAGCGGTAAGCCGATGCGTTTGAAGTCGAACCTTTGTTGTTTGACCTATTACGAGTAGAAGGTGCGCGCACGGGTGACTTTTTTGTCACTCTCTAGGAATGCACTTTTTTTAGCTTGCACCGATTTTCTGGATCGTAATAGATCGCTATTCGCTATCAATATTTTCTAAATAATTATGTACGGTAGAAATGAACATAGACTACCATATTAAGGAAGTTCCGCTGCTGGTCTGCAAAAGTCCTGTTTCCCTATCCGTTTCGAAGACTCGCTACATTCCTCAAACAATCTCAACTTCGTTTTCAGGATCTTTTTGGCTTTCCGATGTAAAGTTAATAATTTCACCTTCAAACCAGTTCTTAATTTTCAACAAGAATCTTCCACTCAACAAGAATCTGAAAACCCCAACTAGTATGGGAATGAGAAGGATGCTGATAATGATTTTAGATTAGTCTTAGCTCTATACACGACCAAGTTATTTATGTTTACTAATAAAACGACATGAGTACATTGTTATTTACATGTCTCTGCTACTGCCCGGAGGTTTTCATTTCATCTTCATTTTCACATAGAACAGTCTTACTTTCGTTATGATCGGTTGCAATACGAGTAGTATACTATTATCAATGTCGAGACCAAACCTTTACCAACGGCTGAATATTAAATGGGACCACCTGGGAAGTATTCCCTTTAAAAAAAAAGAATTATCCAAATCGGTTCTGTCGCCTTTGAGTAATCGGTGAACATACATAAAAAAAAACATTCTGACAAATTGAGAACCTCCTCCTTTTTAAATAGGCAATATAAGCTACAATTTAAGGTATAATTGCAAGGGGTATTTTGTTTGTGTGTAAGTGGTATTTTACTTTTTTTCAATAAAATCAGACATGCCTTCTTTGGAAAGAAATTAAATAAATATGCGATAATATCGTAGACTTAAGAATAATATAACCGTAAGTACACACATGCAACATTTTCCCCCATTTTTAACCGACTTCAAAAACACAAAAGGGGAGGTTCTTTTTCTTTCGACTGTATTTTTTTCTGTATATTTGTTACGCGATATATCCGTCAACTGTCTACCGATTTTTGAAATCGAAAGGGTTATACTCTCGATGTGGTCCTATTTCCAGCAAATCAGAGTCTGATAATTGGATCCTAGAGTAACATGTTTTAGCTTGTTTCTTTAGCTATATAGGTATTTGCGTAGTAAGTAACGAACTAATTAAACTAAATTTAATATAATCTAATATACTACAGTTTGGTAACATAAAACAATACTACAAGCACAAACAATACAAAGAACACTAAAAATTAAAAAAAATATCACATATCTAAGTGAAAAAACTAAAATAAGTCCCACCCTCAATATAACAGGTAACATTATAATAACAATAGATACCTTCTACTCTGTTTGAAGTCGGTGCCAAGTCAAATAGGTACTTGATAGGCTTGGAAGAAGGTGGCGTGGCAGCTGCAAGAGTTCATGCTGCGCAAAACATGCTGAATGAGCCAAAGTGGGTTACCTGTTTTATTGATGGTCACACTTACTTTAGTTTTTTCACTCTATATAATTTATTATTTTTTAATTTTTAGTGCTCTTTGTTAGTATTGTGTAAAGTTGGTTCGACTTTTTTATTTTATTATTATTTATATATTATATTATTTAAGTAATTATTTTCACAATTGAACACTTAGAAGTACTACTAAATAATTGAAGGCAGCAAGAGCTTGAAAGACAACCGAGTAAAGTTTTAAATGCAAATCGCGTGACATATCCACTTTGACTGCTCATTACTTAACGATAAAGGGTAATTCATGATTCTTATACGTTGAGAAATCATGATTAATTACTTAATGACTTGACTTTTTGGTGTCTAAATAAGTCAAACATATAACAAAAACCGCATGAGAATTTGCATCTAACCTAGTCGAGTTCAACCCATTACAACGTTTCAAGTTTACGATTATGTTCCAATATTAAAGTTATGTTGTTGTTTATCGTATTGCATTTACAGATGACAGTTGAGGATCTGTCGTGTGAAGTGGGGCCACCATGCAGCTTGGTACTTTCAGATGGCACGGTATTTACAGGCAAAAGCTTTGGAGCTCGGTTGCCCGTGGAAGGAGAAGTTGGTTAGTATTTATATGTACTTAGTCGAAATTAAAATGAAATCAAGTCACATTAAATTCAATAAAGCAACTATATAGTTAATTAGTCAGTTATAAAAAAGAGCATTTTCTTATTCAGAAATAATTGTGTTTATTAAAATAAGTCCAAAAATAACTAATAAATATGATATTTATTACAGTATTCCAGACGGGTATGGTGGGATATCCGGAGTCCTTGACAGATCCATCTTATCACGCGCAGCTCTTAGTGTTAACGTATCCACTAGTTGGCAACTACGGAGTACCCGATGAAGAGGAAATCGACGAACATGGAATACCTAAGTAAGATTATACATTCAAGTATTATATAAATATAGGGATAGAAGTATCGCCCATTGCTGGCACAAATGTCAGCGTTTAGATTTTCCCCATGAGACAGGTCTATCGAAAATCGATCAATAAAACGCTCTTATCTATTATTGGATCTTTGAATTCTTATGATAGTGAATACCCTTAACATTTTAATGATTTCTATAATTTAAAATACAATAATTTAATGTTTGTATGCACTTAACAAAAAAAATAGTAGATTCTGAAACAGTGCTACATTTCAGTATCGACTTATATACCATTTCTATCAAAAAGCAAAATCTTTAAGAAGTTAACTTTGCTAAGATCAATAGTACGTAATTATCTAATATCATTTCGTATGTAGCATCCATGTTTCATCGATGATATAGATAGTCTTCACCTCCCTTATAACCATTATTTATACATTCAAGAGGTTGCTTAGCCTTATTGTCCAACTGATTTTCCTATTAACTGATAAATAATAAGTATTTAAAATCACTTCCTTACGGTTCCTAAACTTAAATTCAAGCAAGTAACAGAACTGATAAATAATTTACTTTAACCAACAGTAATTGGGCAAACTCATTTGTACGTTAGACTTTTTATCCAGAAAGCGAATAAAACCATAGAATATAAGCATAGTGAAGAAGAGCCACAATCTTGCAATATAGGCAACGAGAGAGATGGACAATAAATAGATGCATTTATGTTTTTCTAGTCGAGATCTGTGGTTAGCTGGGTGTTAAGGAGCACGGCTTGGGTTATTGTTAAATAGCACGGCTTGGGTTATTGTAAGACTGTATCTTTTAGTATTGTTTTGTACCCTTATTGTTGTTTTATTGTGTATGCGCCGCGTTTCTGCATGGGCGCGGGGAAAGGATAGCGGGGGGACTGTTGCACGTGGCCTGAAATGCACGTTGCACCAGTCCTCCAGGCAGTCGATAGCTAGCCTCCCCGCCAGGCAGTCCATAGCTAGCCTTCTCGTAGTGTAGTTCTTGTAGTAGTAATAATGTGATTAAATAGTCAATATTCCCGTGTCTGTGCGTTTCTCTGCTACTTACTGATTAGCAACCCCGCACCTTACTTACACTGGGGATTATGAGGTGTTAATAAGTAGCCAATCGCAGCTTAGCTAAACAGCGGCAGAGAAAACTATCGGGCAACCATGCCACGTTGCCTGTATCGCTTCCACTTACAGGCAGCTGTACCCCGTGTTCTTTCTATGCTTATATCTCTAGGAATAAAACTTTAATCGCTGTAGTTTCGCAACTCTAATAGATTAAAGTTAACTATAACTACATGTATGATTATATTGTATTCCAGATGGTTTGAGTCTAACCGTATTTGGGCTGCCGGACTGATCGTCGGTGAAGTCAGCACTCGAGCATGTCACTGGCGTGCCAAACGCTCGCTAGGAGCATGGCTATCCGCCAATGGCGTGCCAGGGTTGTGTGACATTGACACTAGGGCTTTGACCATCCGTCTTCGCGAAGGCGTTACACTTGGCCGCATTGTGCAGGGAGTACCACCTTTTGGTCCACTGCCACCAATAAAAGATCCCAACGCGCGTAACTTGGTCGCCGAAGTGTCGGTAAAGGTAAGCATCATTATCAATTTATCTAAATTCTCTTAATAAAATGTTATCCAGGCCTAAATTATACTTGTAAGGAAATGTCAAACCAAAAGTATATACTGTATAAATACACGTATATACAGTATTACTAAATAAATGAAGTTTGGTGCTCATTTTTGTTTAGATATACAAATAGATTCAAGTACCTAACTTGAATCTATGAATGAGTGAATATGACTAATGGAAAATGAATTATTTCAGGAGCCGAAAATATATAATCCCAATGGTACAGTTACTATAATGGCTGTAGATTGTGGTTTGAAATATAACCAAATCCGGTGTTTGATAACGAGAAATGCTAAGGTGGTATTAGTTCCATGGGATCACGACTTAAACCCAAATCAATACGATGGTTTGTTCATTAGCAATGGTCCTGGTGACCCAGTTATGTTGAAAAAAGTTGTAAACAACATACGTGCAGTGATTGAAGATAAAGTGAATGTAAAACCGGTTTTCGGAATATGTCTCGGACATCAATTACTATCTACTGCAGCTGGCTGTAAAACTTATAAAATGAGGTTAGTTTAAAATCACGAATCAATTTCATGTTTGCTTACATACGTGTATATAATTACGACTTTTTTCTTTTAGTTACGGTAATAGAGGCCACAATTTACCATGTACCCATAGTGGCACAGGGCGATGTTTTATGACATCCCAGAATCACGGATTTGCTGTTGGCACTGATACACTACCAAACGACTGGAAAGTTCTGTTCACTAATGAAAATGATAAAACAAATGAAGGCATTATACACAAAACATCTCCATTCTTCAGTGTGCAGTTTCACCCAGAACACACAGCTGGGCCAACGGACCTAGAATGTCTTTTTGATATATTTATGAATACAGTCAAATCTTACAAAGCCGAAAAGCCTTGTGTCGTTGATGATATTATTACAGAGAAACTTAAATTTGTACCAACCATACATGAAAGACCGAAGAAAGTGCTTATTCTAGGCTCTGGGGGATTGTCTATTGGTCAGGCTGGTGAGTTTGATTACTCTGGATCTCAAGCTGTCAAAGCTTTACAAGAAGAAAAAATTCAGACAGTCCTGATAAATCCGAATATTGCTACTGTTCAAACATCTAAAGGATTAGCAGACAAAGTTTATTTTTTGCCGATCACTCCGGAATATGTTGAACAAGTTATAAAAGCAGAACGCCCTACTGGTGTCTTATTGACATTTGGTGGTCAAACCGCTCTAAACTGTGGAGTGCAATTAGAAAAATCTAAAGTATTCGAAAAATACAATGTAAACGTGTTAGGAACTCCTATTCAATCAATTGTTGACACAGAAGATCGTAAAATATTTGCTGAAAAAATTAACGCAATAGGAGAAAAAGTTGCTCCTAGCGCTGCTGTTAATTCAGTCGATGAAGCACTTGTAGCTGCCGGGCAAATCGGTTACCCAGTAATGGCTCGTTCTGCATTTTCGTTGGGGGGTTTAGGTTCTGGTTTTGCTAATAACGAAGAAGAACTTAGGATACTTGCTCATCAAGCTCTGTCCCACTCTGATCAACTTATAATCGATAAATCTTTAAAAGGCTGGAAGGAAGTGGAATATGAGGTTGTTAGAGATGCATTCAATAACTGTATTACAGTTTGTAATATGGAAAATGTAGATCCCTTAGGGATTCATACTGGAGAATCTATTGTGGTTGCCCCAAGTCAAACACTTTCAAATAGAGAATATTACATGTTACGAAACACAGCTATCAAAGTAATTCAACATTTTGGGATTGTTGGAGAATGTAACATTCAGTACGCCTTAAACCCAAATTCGGAAGAATTCTACATAATTGAGGTAAATGCGAGACTATCCAGAAGTTCCGCTTTAGCTAGTAAAGCTACAGGCTATCCATTGGCATATGTTGCTGCTAAACTCTCACTAGGAATTCCTTTGCCTGCTATTAAAAATTCGGTTACTACTGTTACTACTGCTTGTTTTGAACCCAGTCTCGATTATTGCGTTGTCAAAATTCCAAGATGGGATTTGGCTAAGTTTACGAGAGTAAGTACGAAAATTGGCAGTTCTATGAAAAGTGTTGGAGAAGTTATGTCAATAGGGAGAAACTTTGAAGAAGCTTTTCAGAAAGCGTTGAGAATGGTTGATGAAAATGTTAAGGGTTTTGACCCAAACATTAAAAAAGTAAACGAAGGTGAATTAAGTGAACCAACCGATAAGCGAATGTTTGTCTTAGCTGCAGCTTTAAAAGACGGATATACAGTAGAAAGACTATATGAATTAACTAAAATAGATAAATGGTTTTTAGAAAAGTTTAAAAATATCATCGATTATTATAATATATTAGAAACAGTAAAAGGTTCCATACCATTTCATATTTTGAAAAAAGTAAAGCAAATTGGATTTTCTGATAAACAGATAGCTGCTGCAGTTAAAAGCACTGAAGTTGCTGTCCGAAAATTAAGAGAAGAGTACAAAATTACTCCATCCGTGAAACAAATTGATACTGTAGCAGCTGAATGGCCAGCATCAACTAACTACCTGTATCTTACTTATAATGGTAGCACGCATGACTTAGAGTTTCCTGGCGGATTTATCATGGTCTTGGGTTCCGGAGTCTATCGCATAGGAAGTTCGGTTGAATTTGATTGGTGTGCAGTAGGATGTTTAAGAGAGCTTAGAAATCAAGGCAAAAAGACAATTATGATAAATTACAATCCTGAAACAGTCAGTACCGATTATGATATGAGTAACCGTCTGTATTTCGAAGAAATTTCTTTTGAAGTTGTTATGGATATATATAATATAGAACATCCTGATGGAGTAATTTTATCTATGGGAGGACAACTACCGAATAACATTGCTATGGATTTGCATAGACAACAGGCCATTATTCTTGGCACTTCACCCGATATGATTGATAATGCTGAAAACAGATTTAAGTTTTCAAGAATGTTAGATCGCAAGGGTATAATGCAACCAAGATGGAAAGAGCTCACCGATTTAGACTCAGCTATTGCATTTTGTGAGGAGGTTGGATATCCATGTCTCGTTCGACCATCATATGTTTTAAGTGGAGCAGCTATGAACGTAGCTAATTCAAACCAGGATTTAGAAACTTATTTGAAATCAGCTAGTCAAGTTAGTAAAGACTATCCCGTAGTCATATCTAAATTCATAACAGATGCTAAAGAGATTGATGTAGATGTCGTAGCTGCAGAGGGTATAATATTTTGTATGGCAGTGTCAGAACATGTCGAAAATGCTGGCGTACATTCGGGTGATGCAACATTAGTTACTCCTCCACAAGATATCAATAACAAAACATTGGATAAAATTAAAGAAATTGCCAGTATTATAGCCGAAACACTAGATGTCACAGGTCCATTCAACATGCAATTAATCGCAAAAGATAATGACCTCAAAGTAATCGAATGTAACGTCAGAGTATCAAGGTCCTTCCCATTCGTATCCAAGACTCTAGATCATGATTTTGTAGCAATGGCCACAAAAATAATATTAGGAATACCAGTAGAACCCGTTAATGTGATGACAGGCTGTGGAAAAGTAGGTGTGAAAGTACCCCAGTTTTCATTCTCTAGACTGGCAGGTGCTGATGTCACTTTAGGAGTAGAAATGGCGTCCACTGGTGAGGTAGCTTGTTTTGGTGAAAATCGTTATGAGGCCTATTTAAAATCCTTAATGAGCACGGGCTTCAGAATACCAAAAAAAGCCATTTTACTGTCTGTAGGAACATTCAAGGTAAGAATTGCGACTGAAGAACTTAATTTTATTGTACGTTATAAATAATTTTAACTGATTAATAAATAATTTCAGCATAAAATGGAATTACTCCCTAGTGTAAGAGCATTACACAGAATGGGTTATAAACTGTATGCCAGTATGGGAACTGGCGACTTCTATGCGGAACATGGAGTTGAAGTAAGTGAAAATATTATCACTTATTTTTGTTTAGGACGAAACAACAAAATAACCTTTATTTTTTATTAATTACAGATTGAAAGTGTTCAATGGACATTCGATCACATTGGCGACCCTGAGGACGTGCGTTCAGATGGCGAACTGATGCACTTGGCCGATTTCATGGCAAGACGTGAATTAGATTTAGTTATAAATCTCCCAATGAGAGGCGGCTCACGTCGAGTTTCTGCATTTAGTACACACGGATACCGCACACGTCGCCTAGCTGTAGATTATGCTGTACCTTTAGTAACGGATGTCAAATGTGCTAAGCTTTTAGTTCAGGTTCGTATTTCATATCGCAATTTCAAAAAAGGTGTTTCTTATAAAATATAAAATATTAAGTATATTTTTTACAGTTTAAGCCATACATTTGTATTTTTTAATTATCCATATTTCACAAAGAACTACATATTATGGGAATTACAAAAATTATGGTAAGGGGCTGCTTAAAAAGTTATATATTATATAAATATTCTAGTAAAAAAATACATAGATTTATTTACTCATTCCTAAACTGTATTTTACACATAAATAAAGCATCTATTCGCACCCTATTCAGCGTATACTTAGTTTTACTGTCACCGATTTACATTATTAAATATTTACAGGCTATGACAAAGTGTGGTGGCGCACCAGTAATGAAGACACACACAGATTGTATGACATCTCGAAACATTCTAAAGTTGCCTGGTTTCATTGACGTACACGTACATGTACGAGAACCCGGTGCTACTTATAAAGAGGACTTTTCATCGTGCACTGCTGCTGCCCTTGCTGGTGGCATAACTATGATATTAGCTATGCCAAACACAAATCCTCCCGTGGTAGATCGTTCATCATATGATTACGCATCTGCATTAGCTCGTGTTAGTGCTAGATGTGACTACGCCTTATATATGGGAGCTGCAACAACTAACACAGACACAGTTGCTGAAATGGCTCCACAAGCAGCAGCTTTGAAAATGTATCTCAATCAAACATTCACAACTCTGACAATGGATGATATGACAGTGTGGCAAAAACATCTTCAAAACTGGCCAAAAAAAATGCCTGTGTGTGCCCATGCTGAACGGGAGAAAACTGGAGCCGTTATTTTGATGGCATCTTTACTAGACAGACCTATCCATATTTGTCATGTGGCTAGAAAAGAAGAAATTCTTATAATCAAATCTGCCAAAGAGAGAGGGCTAAAAGTTACTTGCGAAGTGTGCCCTCAACATTTATTTTTGAGTACAGCAGATATACCCCATTTAGGTGAAGGTAGAGCCGAAGTGCGACCAGTGCTATGCAGCCCAGAAGATCAAGCTGAATTATGGAAAAATATTGATGTTATAGACGTATTTGCCACTGATCATGCTCCGCACTCCGTTGAGGAAAAAAATTCAGAAAAACCACCTCCTGGTTTTCCTGGATTAGAAACAATTTTACCGCTTCTTCTCAATGCTGTACACAAGGGACGTTTAACTATAGAAGATCTCATAAATAAATTCCATCGAAACCCTAGAAAGATCTTTAACCTACCAGAGCAACCAAATACTTATGTGGAAGTAGATATGGACTATGAATGGACAATCCCACAAGCTATGGAATTTACTAAATCAAAGTGGACTCCATTTGCGGGCATGCAAGTTTGTGGTGCAGTACACCGAGTCACGCTTCGTGGTGAAATAGCTTACGTCGAAGGGCAAGTTCTCGTGCCTCCAGGCTTTGGTCAAAATATTCGTGATTGGCCAGTTCCTAAGAAACAAACCCATCCGCTTATTGATAAAATTGAAAAAGAGTACAGCCGGCCAAATTCTGCACTTGACGTTTATATGTCTGGTGATTTAAGTAGGCTGAGCGATATTGACTTAGATCAAATGGACAATAAACCTGAAAGTCAAACTAAGCCTAACGTCCATTTCAGCGAAATTGCCGCCATGAGATGTCTGTCTCCGTTACCACCACAACACACTAGGCAAAGATGTGACAGCACATCCAACAATCCACCTGCTATTTCAGTCGCTCAACGTCAACGAAGTGAAATATATGGCAAAAGTATTCTTACAGTGGACTCTTTTAGTAAAGACATCCTGAATGATATATTTAACCTTGCTCAGTTCATGAAGATAAGCGTGAATAAAGGCCGATTTTTAGATGATATCTTACGTGGCAAAATTATGTCTTCAATATTTTATGAGGTTAGTACACGAACCAGTTGCAGTTTTGCAGCAGCAATGCAAAGATTAGGAGGTTCTGTTATTCACACGGATGCGACAAGTTCATCTGCTAAAAAAGGCGAGACGTTGGAAGATAGTGTTTCAGTAATGGCCAGCTACGCTGATGTAGTAGTACTACGTCATCCAGAACCTGGAGCTGTTGCTGTAAGTATCAAACTATTATTAAATATACAGTTAAGCTATTCCTGAAATATAGAATAAATCTTTTATAATTTAATTGTTTGCCTGTATTTTTAGCGTGTAGCACGAGTGAGTCGCAAACCTATAATAAATGCAGGCGATGGAATAGGGGAGCATCCTACACAAGCGTTGCTCGACGTTTTCACAATTAGAGAAGAAATTGGTACAGTTAATGGATTAACTATAACGATGGTTGGAGATTTGAAGAACGGACGGACTGTACACTCCTTAGCACGACTTCTTACTCTGTACCAAGTACAACTACAGTACGTAAGCCCTCCTGGTTTGGGTATGCCGAAGCACATAACAGATTATATAGCCTCGAAAGGAATAACTCAGAGAGTATATGAACGGCTGGAAGATGTACTTGGTGAAAGCCATGTCTTATACATGACGAGAATACAACGCGAAAGATTCCAAAGCCAGGAAGAATATGAAAAGGTAAGTTATACAAGTGATGTCACTCATTTATTCCTAAGTTGAACACAGGAGGTACTATGAAACATTTCATTCAAATAAGCCCCATGTAATGTTTTATAGTACATCTAGACCTGTAAACCTGGTCTAAGTGGCGCCACACAAGGGAATCAGGTCAAGTCCCAGTCAAGTTATATCAAATAATAATTATCGTTGAGGACATATCGTCCAAACCTCAACGATCCTCCCATTTCAAGCGCAGTATGGCACACCCTGTTTTGGTTGATCTAAGTAGAGCCATACAGCCAATGAGGGTTTCCACTCAACAAAAAAAGAAAGCAAGGTTAAGAAGTAACAACAAAACCCATGGGATGAATAGGGGTGGTGACACTCCGTATTCTTAATCCGTCACCACACGGACAACTTTAGTTTAAATTATGAGTTAGGTCACATGGAGCCCATGTTACAGCCAATAATGACATATCTCTAATTAAAATATGTTTTTTTTTTAGACACGGGGCTTATTAGTGGTTTCGCCTCAGTTGATGACACGTGCTCGAAGACGTATGATAGTTATGCACCCGCTGCCGCGTGTTGATGAAATCTCGCCAGACTTCGATTCGGACCCTAGAGCCGCATATTTCAGACAGGCCGAATACGGTATGTACGTGCGCATGGCTTTACTTTCCATGGTCGCAGGAGTCAATCCTCTTACGTAAACACGTAAACAATGACACTACGACATCATATTTCAAGCCTAATCAACATGGTTTGATCATTGGAAACCATCTCTAAATAACAGAAACAACTTAAGTAAAGACTGCATGTCATGTCGCCGACTCTGATTGTAGGTAAATCAGGTTTCATTTCGATTTTTGATATACTAATCACCCGTGAATATTTGTAATCGTTTTCACCGTTTTTATTTCAATATGTAATGATACTTTGTGTTGTGTAATATATGTACATAAAATGTGTGCCATCAATATATTACGATAAGTCAAGGACCGTATTTATTGTGTAATATGTAAAAGTGTACGTACATATCAAAATAATATTTTAAGAATAAAGTTATTTTCGCATTTAAAGATCTTTAAATTTATTCCTAAACCAAACTGCTTTGAACACCTTTAAACAGATAACTAAATAGTACCTTTTTTTTTTTGCTTTTCTCACCATACCCTCCGTTGGGGAAATGCAGGGCGTGTGTGGGACTCCCGGAGAACCACATGGCCCCAAGATGTGGCCGCAGCGACCCTTAGGCGGCGATTAGGAAGCTAGCGACCTCTGCCGCGTCCCTTCGTCGCCTGCTTCGAGCGAGATCGGCCCTCTCCCGATCCCGCTCTGCCGCCTCCTTCTGGAGCATAACGTCCTCGTAGAAAGAGACCGCGGTTGCCCATCTCTCGCCACCCGAGGGTAGGGAAGGGGAGGGATTTGAATTAGTATCTAGATTATAAAAAAAGAGCAATAAATCAAAACCAGTTATTTATTATTATTAATTCGTAGCCCCAGATCTAGGAGGGTGGGGTGGGGGGCAAACTGGAGCACCCGCCCCGGGCGGCAGTTTCAGGGGGCGCCAAAATCATAAAAGCCTAAACCTAAGAATTAAATCCAAAAAAAATACCTTTAATAACTAGTGAAGCACTTAATAAAGTTATTTAAATATTATCAAAGAAGATATTGTAGTCCCGTGTAACGAAAATTACTGTTGAATATAATATGATTCGTTCATATTCAAACCGAATAACTAAGAGTGGTTATGACAACTACCTCTTACCTAGATAGATGGCTTGCTACCAATTTTTGAGTCGCGATATGATTTCGTTACTCATGCAGATTTATTACGGCGCTCTTCTCTTATAACTTCATGTAAACTCTGGTTTCCCTTCACAACGTATAAATCTTTCGCCTTTACTAAAGATTTCCGTGGAGGGGAAGACGTCACAGTTTTGTAAGCATTTGGAACTTTACATCACTATATAACCTCGAATGTATGTCATCTTCACGTCAACTAAATGACAAGTACGGCACCTACTTTACTTCTCTAAGACATCAGATTTATGTCATTCTGACGCCAGTTAAGTCATAGTGATGTCATATTTACGTCTTCTATTTCAAATAAGAATCTAAGTCAGGAAGTGGGTAATTATGAGTATATATCTCTCAAATATGACATATATTATGTAAATCATGACGTGGCATGACGTCATTTTGACATCAGTTTGACATTATTGTGTTCACATGGAAATAAAGTATGATTAAAAATAAAAAAGTTGCTCCACAAAGCATCCGGAAGCCTGGTTTTCTCACTCATGTAATTTATCTCAAACGCTGGAGATAGGGCTGTAGATCTGGGGCTGTTAGTTTGTCTCATGTTTTAAGGAAGTTTACGTTCAAAAATAAAAAAAAGGCCAAGTTAGGAGCCGTAAAAGCCGGCATCCCTTCATCGTGGCGTAAAGAATTTGTCACTCCCTTTCTCAAGTTCTCGAATTCTATACTCCTCCTGAATCACCTTCAACCTTTTTTTTTTTTTAATGGGACTAATCCCACCCACACGCCCACCACTGTAACTCCTGTACACCAGGATCCACAGCAGTGACCCACGAACACACCGAGTTATGACACTCGGGAAGTCCCAGGAAGAAATTAAACTGTCTTGGAACCCGCAACGAAATTAATCAGAAGAAAATTGGAGGAGTTGGAAATACAGTAAATCCACTTCCCTCCTTAGCTAAGCGGGAGACAAAATGAAGTAAAATAGGCATACACCCTTTTAAACAGGGAAGCACCACGGCCACAAAATATTACGGGTCCTACATGAGCTATATTTGATTTCTATAATATGTATGGCAGAATCGCCTAAACGCACGTTAATTCACCCTAGTTGACACAAGATCCCCATAGTATACCGCCCCAGATGTCACCTGCAAGCTATTCAGCATTATATTACGTTCATTATACCAAAGACTACATTCCCAGAGGATATGATGAGCAGACTGTTCATAATGAGAGTTAGGTGTTGAGCATTGACACAATGGTGACTCGACTAATTTAAATGAATACAACTTGCACTTAAAGTTACCATGACCCGTAAGAAATTGAGCGACACAGTGATCCACCTCAAGCCATGTCCTCGACAACCGTTCGCGAACAGATGGAAAAAATTGGTAAAGATGGCGCCCCTTGGATGATTCGTCCCAGCGTTGCTGCCATTCGTCTATGAGGTCATTATAGACATCGGACTGCTGTTGAAGCAATCTTGTAATTTTACCGCGATCCCGCGCGCCCAAGAAATCGCATTCCATGTTTTGTCTTGAATAGTACATGGCTGCACGTCTCTGCACCTCGAGATCGACCGGAAGGACACCTGCCAACACCGGCAAAGCCTCAGTGCTAACCGTCCTATATGCCTTGCACAAAAATATCAGTGCAAGTCGTTGGCCTTGTAACAGTTTGCGACGGACAGCGCCTACGGTCGCCCTATCGGCCCATACAGGTGCACCATAGCACATAGAACCTAAATAAGTAGCTCCGTATATGATCTTTAATGTATTAAATGATAGACCCCATGTCGCAGTTGATATCCTTGTCAATGCACAGAAACTCTTTTTAGACTTTTCATTAACTATTTTAATATGTTCGATAAATGAAAAGTTTCTTTCTAAAACTAATCCTAGATAACACACTGTGGTTTTATTTTTTACAGTAACATTGTCAAATCTAATGCTCGGCGGTGATTTGAGGTTACCTTTTAAAAGTAACTGGAAGGTTTTGTTGGGTGCAAAAGTTAAGCGATTACGTGTACCCCATTGAGATATCAAGTTCAAACATCTATTGGCTAATCTCTCAAGCCCCGCCCTAGTATCAGATTCCACCAGTAATAAGCCGTCATCAGCATACGCGTTCAGAGTACATCCGGATGGTATTGGTATCGTAAGAAAATCGTCGAAGCCGATATTCCACAAGTATGGACCTAGCACCGATCCCTGAGGACATCCCATTGTAAGCGCCTTCGACACAGAATGATGACCAAGTCTTAGTTTAGTTGTACCTTGTGAAAAGTACGAAGAGATAAGGGAATAAATATTTTTAAAACACCCCCGTGATTTTAATTTCAGCAACAGCATGGGCCACCATGCGTTGTCGAAGGCGCCAGATATATCTAAGAAAATAGCCAGCACGTATTGAAATTTTGACTCTGTGACAAACTTTCTAACCGATATAACAGCGTCAGTTGTCGATTTACCCAACGTAAATCCAAATTGTCTATCATGAAATTTGACTCCACCTGGCAGAAGCCGGGGCACTACAAGACGTTCTAAAAGCTTTCCTAACGATGGTAACAATGTGATTGGTCGGTAGGATTTAGGATCATCCGGTGGATTGTCGCCACTTTTTGGTATTATACGAATATTACCGCACCGCCATATACGAGGAAATATTCCTTCAGCAATGCAACGTTTAAAGACAGTGAAAATCGTGTCACCCGAAAGTTTACAAGCTTCTTTTATCATTTTGTTAGATATTTTATCATCACCCGAAGCCTTGTTTAGCGGCAAGGATCTAATGATACCGAGAAATTCGTCTGAAGATGGTAAATCAGACATTGGAGACAGTGGTGGTTCGATGGCCCACTGCCTGATCTGTCGGTGATGATCAGTGTCGTTTTCCGGTCGATCGTCAGGTACGAGTGAGTCTAAAAGATATTCTGCTGTTTGTTCTACTCCTGTGGTATATCTGTTATTAATTTTGATGTTCTGTATGTATGCGTGGTCGATTGATCTATTTGCCTTAAATTCGTGATACAAAGGTTACCACGGGCCCTCTCTATCGAGTTTATTAACAAGTTTCTGAATTAAGTTTCCCTTGGATTTTTCCACAGCAGCTCTGTAGTGGGACCTGGCAACTCTAAGAGCAATGAGAGCAATGTTGTACAAATCTCCTGTTACGTTATGTTTTTTAATAGTGTTTAATTTTCTACGAGCTTTCCGGTAGCTTCTACGTAGTTCGGCTAATCTATCATTCCACCAATCACATCTACGAGTGTTAGTGATAGATCCGCGACCAATAGTTACATCAGCGCAGTATGTAAAAGTTTCTGATAGTATTTCTGCGCTTTCCTCAGCTGATAAACTACTGCGACTGAAGTCTTTGGTATGAGTTGCAAAGAGTGAACCAAACAAAGCCCAGTTCGCACCTTTAGTTTTATATCTAAAATTATAGGGAGCCCTTTGTGGATCCTGTGCAACCCTTGGTGTGAATTCGTACACGATCAAGCGGTGATCACTACAGGATGCGTCCGGAAGGACACGCCATCCGGATATCGAGACGTCGCCGCGCGTAAGCGTCACGTCAATAGAAGACTCACCCATTGGGTTGCAAAAAGTTGGTGGTGCATCGGGGGTATTGTGAATAATAAGATTCATTTCCGCAATGAAATCTTCAACCGCACAACGTCGAACCGTGTCGGTTGAACGCAACTTGCCATACCATAATGAAGATGACGCATTGACATCAGCGCCAATGATAATTTTATGTCCCACGAGGAACTGCAAGACGTAACGTAAGTGATGTAAGTGAGGATCAATAGGATGTGAATATTGAAAATAGCAGCTCACTACGTAAACCTTACAGGTAGAGGATGAGATCTCAGCAACGGCGCAGTGTGACGTCATAAGATTACGCAAAGATGTTACCGTAAAATTAGAACTTGCAACAT